AGGGCAAGAGGTTCAATTATGTTGTCTTTGAAGTTTGTCTGTGGTGTTCCTCAGTCAGTTCAGAAAGATTGCTACAGAAATGTTTCTTACTCTTCTCCCTCCTATGTGTGCAAGTCACTGATTTCTAGCATTATTAGTCTTCTGTGTTTGCACAATATTTTTTTTAATAAAACTCTGCAACTGATAGAAGTTCAGTTTCTGCTTTTCTTGACACAATAAACATAGTAGTAACCCACTTTCTAGTTGTTACTGCTTTTGTAAATCTAGACCAATCTAGTTTCTTTAGAGAAACCTAGGTCAAGGAAGGGTTTAGAGAGACGTGAGCATGTTCTAAGTTTGTGAGATAAAAGCCATAAAATCTGGATTCTTGTTCTCATCTCTGCTTGTAACTAACTCTCCAGGCTTCAATGCCTTCATTAATACCCCGGGATAACACATACGTAGTAATTTCATTAATGTAGTAAAATGCTTCAAGAACCCCACATCAAAAGCTGTAGACAGGAAGGGCAGTATTATTATTCTGTTCTATGCAGATGCCAACAGAAAGTAAATATAATGCTTCTTGCAAAGGAACTTGTAGCCAAGCCTATCAGAAGGCTGCCATAGTCTGAAAGTGCAGGGAACAGAGTGAATGACCATATATTATTAATATACTGAAGGCATTTTTTCTAACCAGTTACTTTAATCTTGAGTCTGTGAGGTATGCTGGCAGGTAGCTCTTTTTGTGTTTTTATTACCACTTTCATAAAGCCACAAGGCAGGTTTGTATCCTACTGAGAATCCTAGCTTTGATGCTTCTTTTTTCACCTATTTTTGTCTCTGTTAACTTGATATGACTGAGAAGTTCAAAAAGACACAGTAGGCCAAAACCTTAAAACCTCCTTTTCCTTTGTTCCTCTTATACCCTTATCACTCTTTACATGTGGATTTTGTGTTGGTGAGTCTTATTGAATTGACAGTCTTTGAGAGAATGCCTTGATTCTCAGAGTAGGTACCGTACAGATTAATAGCATCTCTCATATGGGCTGCTGCTTGTACCCCGCCTGAGGTGCCTGGCTAAATGAATGTGCTGAATAGCTGCATGTTTATTATGTTTTGTTAATTAACAATGCCTGCAAAGTATTCACAGTCAAAACAAGTGGTTCAGGATATCATTTAACTTTCATGCCCATTTCTGAGTGTTACAATATAAAATGCAAATATGGATACAACCAGACTTACCTGGAAATGAGCATGATGAAAAGGGGAGGACACTTTACGTTAGTAGACACTTGTTCAGCCCAGGGACTTCTTTCTGAAGTAGCAGTAGGAAGACAGTATGAGTTCAGAGACAGGGATAAAGTTAGTTTGAAGAATGGAAAAAATAGGCCAGAATTGCTTTAACTTTGCTAGGCTTAAGAGAAAAGTCATGGTGAATAATTTAAAAAAATAAAATTTACTCCAAAACAATTAGATTTCCATGTTCTTACTCCTTTATCTCCTGTAATCAGTATGCCTTACACAGATTTGTCCTTTATTGTAATTCTTGTTCGGACTAGTGTTGGCTGCCCTCTCTGTCTCCTACCTTGTGCCACCATTTGTTTTTTTCTGAAAAAAAGCCAATAAGTTTTCACTTAACTATAATAGACTTCATCAGCTTATATGCACAGTCAATGGTTGTATGTCTAAGGGTTTTTTCACTACCTCTGTCTCCTATCCTTTGCTCTAGTTTCAGAAAAAAACCCAGGGAAATGCCTAATCCTACCTTGTCTCCATCCTCTCCTTTTTTCTTTGTGGCCAGGGTTTATTTTCATACCAAACCCTTTCCTTCCTGGCTGCCAGCGTCACTGGGTGAAGCAGTGTCTCAAGCTATACCCTGAGAAACCCAATGTCTGCAACCTGGACCTGCACATGGCTCCTGAGAAGACCACTGACCTGTGGGGACAGAGCAAGGAGCAGCTGAGGTAAGTCCACTATCACCTTTCATGGTCAAAACTGATGGAGCCAGATCTCACCTTTGAGAAGGTCTAAGAAAATTGAGCAGTGAAGGGAAGCTGAAGAAGATTGTGTATTTGCTGGCAGAATACAGATGATGTCAGACATGCCAAATTAAAGGTGGCTATTTCATGGCTTCATGTGCATCCTTGCTAATTCTCTGCTTTCATTCACAATGAGATTCTCCAGTGGCGTATTGTTTTAAAGCCATTGGTGAAATGTTACGTAGTAACCCTGGCTGATGTGATGCTTGAAGCTTGCTAAGCTCTGCTATGAGGGGAACCATGAAGGTTCTCTCTAGGCCTCAGTTTTCCTGAGATCCTTTCCAAAACTCCCCACTAATGGTAGCACTTCTTCTTCCCAGTCTGCTCTTAGATTCAGTACACGGTAATTGAAATGCTGTTAGCTGTACTTTCTTGAATTTCTCAAATCTAACAGTTTCTGTGTTCTTACTTTCTAAAGTATTTCTTTTGGTTTGGTTTTGTTTGTGGTTCTTCTTAATTCAGCATGACATTGAAATAAATGTATTAAATGTACCATTCTAATGGCAATCCTGTTTAATTGGAAAGATTCCATCAGGTTCAGAATTCTGTGGCTGATGTAGCTGCCTTTCCTCTACCTGATCTGAAATTTAATGGAGAATTTGTCCCAGTTTTGAAGTCAAGTAGAAAGTTTAGAAAAAGGAAAAGTCATTTAAAGCTTGAACTTTATTAAAGTCATCTGTAAAAGTACATATAAAACAGACTTTACAGTACACAATCTTTTAGCTATTTGGATATTTATCATTACCTTATTGATTTCACTGCTCATTTTTCATAATGATTGTTTTATGTGATGGTGCAACTGGAGTTCTCTACAATGCTTATCTTCCACCTCAGTCTCTTAATGAGGTTGACATGCAGAGATTTTTCTTCAAAAAACCTCTTGACATCTACAAGATATAGAATTGGCAAAAGCAAGATTGGGACATCTAATTGTTTGCACCTAGGAGAGAAGTTACGCTCTCACTTGTCTTTTCCAGTCTCAGTCAGAATTAGTTACAGAAATGTAGACACCATTTTTGTGTTCCATCAAGAATAAAAAATTGTTCTGTGAAAGGATTGTGCATTGTGCCCAATGGCTGAAAAAAGTGGGGTACTGTTTCAGTTTGCCAGGCCTCTCCCAGCAGGACCTCCTGTGTGCAGAGGATGATCAGAGCAGAGGTTAATTTGCAGCTGCATCCAGTTCAGTTGAAAACAGTATTTAGGAAAGTGATGACTGGCAGAAACCCTGGCAATTTTGTGAAGTACTTACCTGAGTCATCAAGTGAGCCAGCTGCTTAGACCTAGATGCAGTAGATGGAACTAGCCAGCCTCTCTAGTATCTGGAGTGAAAGCGTTTTGGATAGTCGAGAAACATGCTTATCTAAAATGAGGTCTGCTTCCAAGATGGGTTACAACTTTAATGCTGTTTAAAGCCATCAGGATAACGCATGCATGTGCTTGGGTCATGGCTTATCTGCTCTTTTCAGGATGTAGGAATCACAAGGTAGGGTGAATTTATACAATTCCAAGACATATATGCTATGCTTTCCTCACGAAGTGGAGCCTGAGTATTTTCTTCGGTGCTGGGGACAATTAAAATCATAAAAGGTAATAGAGCATTCCCACAAAGGAGATAGAGATATACAGATATATAGGAATGTCCATCCTTGTGTATAAGGAAAATGGAGGGGTTTTGCAGATAAATCATTACCAGCAAAAAAAGAAACAAGGGATCTTCAGATCAAAGCTCCCATGCTGTTCAGTCTTTTTCTAACATAGTTATACCAGACCTTTTCTGTGCTTTCTTGTGGGACCTCATTGTTTCCAGATATACATACTTTTCCTTTCGTAGCAATCACATATGAAATCACATGCAAAATACCAAGTTCTGGGAATAAGGACTTCCCACACACATTTGGGTTCTTGTTGTTGCACAAACTCTCTATCACTGTAGCAAAAAAAAGGGCAATTTCGAAAGGCACATGGTAAAATTGTTTCATTATGAGCATTGTTTGTCAGGTGAAAGATGTACAAGAACAAACTGTGTGCTCTCCCTTTTCTAAATGCTGTGTTGCCTGCTTCTGGGCTACACAAATTGTTCCAAGCAGCATGTATTTGACAGTTACTGTGTTGGTGTTTATGGTAATTGCAGTGCTGTTACCCTATGACAGATGGAAAATGGAAAGACTATTTTCAGTAATCAGTGAGCTAAGAAAAATTACTAAAGGTAAAGAAACTTGCCTTTTACTCCTGTTCCTGGTTTATCTTATGAGCTATCAGGATGGCATAGTTGAAGGGCAGGAGCAAGCTGTGTATCTGGGTAGAAATGCACATTAAATGCAGATGTTTGGCTGAGACTTGACCATGACAGTGCAAATATCAGTCTTTTTTTTTTTTGTAAAAGAGAGCGTGTCATGCTGAACTAATGAGGCTGTAAATGAGAGCGAGCCGTCTGGTACTACTGTTTCTCTTCTGAATATATTTCCCTTTTTTATATTTTTCTTTTTTTACCATAACATGTGACTTGGCTTGAGAAAAAGTATGCTGAAATTGCTGTTATGAGTAGACTAGAACATAGATGTGTACCTTCATTTTTCTATTTGTCACTAACATATTTCTATCTGATTTAGTTGCTTATACTCTGTAACTTTTCAAAGGCTTTTCCATAGTTTGTCCTAGAAGCTTCTCCTTGAAGCCTCTTCTTGCTTTCATATCCTACAAGTAAGAATGGTAAATTGGTGTGTGGCTTCAGACCACTCAGGTCCTTTACTTCAGGGTTGTCACGTGAGAAGAGCAGTTCTTTGTCCTGCATGGCAGGCTGGATAAGAGGACACCTGCAATCTAGACTTCTTGACACTGTGGTCATAGCTGGAGAAGTCTTGCTTCTTACTGCGAGTCAGCCCATCCTAAGGATGTTTTATCAAAGTACCAAGTAGTAGAACCAACCATCCTTTGCAATATTAGGCAGCATGGTATGTTTCACTGTTAGGCAACTCATTTTCCTTTCTTGTAATTTTCCATTAAATGCCTAGAATATTTTTTCCTTGAATTTGCAGCTTTCAGGTCTTCAGATTCCGGTCTTTAACTTTTTGGTGCTCAAATACAACTTGTTTAATTCTGATCTCTTAATTTGTGCTACTGATTGTGTTTCCATCCAATAATCTCTTAGATACCATTTGAAAATACAAGCTTTCAAATTTACCACACTTGGCAGTAGGCCCCACGGCTTCCACACGTTCCATGAACTAAATTTTCAAGGTCTTTGGAGGACGAAGGTATTGGCACTGAAAAAAAAAAGTTGAGCATTGGTCAGTTTTAATAGCATTGACTGGTTTTAATAGGCTGTGAAATGGATGAGTGAGTCTCATTACTGTATGCTGCACTGGCAGAAGACCCCTCAGAAATTAACACATATCCTATTTATTTCTATTTTGTCTCTGTAGAAGGAAAGGTTCCAGTAAACGGGAGCCCAGGAGCCTATTGGAGAAGCTGCGCTGGGTGACCCTTGGTTACCATTATAACTGGGATACTAAGGTATTGAGATTAAATTCTTCTCCATTTTTCTTAGCCATAAGCACTCAGAATGGCAAACAGAAGGACATCATGGAATAAAGACAGTCTTAAGGACAGGCACTATCAAACTGTGCTTTTAAGAACATTTCAATCTGTATTGCTTGACTGCGAAGGGTTTAACAGCAGAAGTCCATTGCTGCATTCTTTCCTTTGAAAGTTAACATGATAGCATACACTCAGCTCTAAACCTACAACTATTTCAGGGTAAGTGGCATTTTTACCTACCAAAAGGGATGGTTACAAAAGCATTGCTAACTATTAAGCTGAGTGTGACTTCAGGGAAACTACTCTTTGGTGGGGTGAGCAGGAGCTAGAAGAAACTGCTGCTCATGTGATTTTGAACTTTAATGAGTCTGAACCACTATAGTGCATTCTTACCAACTAACAGCTGTTTTGAGGATCCTGATCAAAATAAACTTTTTTTCATGAGACTGAGATAGATGGAGGCCAATAAACACTGGCAGAGTGGATATGCATCTTATCTGTATATAGCAGATAACCGAATCTGCTTGCAGCCTTTTATTTACCAGATCAACCTGTTATTGGATGGCCTTAATAAAAGTTTTGTTATTATCTTCCAGTCCTCTCAGAATGCCTTATGGGAGAGAGAAAAAGTAGGTTTGCAATTGATTGCTGCTTGTTATTAATGAAGGAATAAAGATGCTAGTTTTGGAGCTCTGTTGATGAGCTACAGAACTGTCTTTACATTGGCAGCTTCAGGTTGTGACTGAGAAGATCCTCAGGATGTTGGTAATAATCTTACTGATTTCAGGTTTTTCATCTAGATATGATTAATTCCACAATTAGTTGTATCTCTGGCAGTCTCAGCCTAGGCCACAAATTTAATGGTAGGTGGTAAATTTGCTGTGATTCTGCCTGTGTTGTAGTCATTTTCTAGGTAAATGTGATGTCCTTCAACACGACTATCAGCCAGGGTTTTGAGTTCTTTTTCAGTGTTTGTTTCTAAGTGTATTTGCTGCTCTGATGTGTTGGGTGTGGCTTTCTTTTTTTTTTCTCCCCCCCTCTCCTCCTTCCAGAAGTACTCAGCAAATCACCACACTCCTTTCCCCTCAGACCTTGCATTCCTATCAGAACAAGTGGCTGCAGCCTGTGGGTTTCGGGGTTTCCAAGCCCAAGCAGGGATCTTGAACTACTATCATTTTGACTCTTCACTGGGAATTCATGTGGATGAGTCTGAACTAGACCATTCTCGGCCCCTGTTATCATTCAGGTGAGTCAAGGAAAGCGCACTTGAGTGTTATGGAAAGATCGGTGGCTTTTTTCCTAGGGTTGCTTATGGTTATAGGAAGGCAGTATGATGTAGTTTGCTAATTGGGTATATAATCTTCACTCACAGAAGATTTGAATGGCAGAAGACTATAGGTCAGGGATATAGGTTTTTCCTTAAGGACTGCTTAAATAGCCTGGATATAGTGCCTGGAGTGAAGAGTTCTTTTGCAGAGAGCACATTTCTGTTCTAAAGCAGCAGAGTGCCAGTTGGGTACTGAAGAAATATCTCAGCAAAGCTTCAAACCTGGCAGGGCAATTGCTCACACTGTGCCTATCCTGAGCCAGGTCACTTAGTCTGTTTACCATGTTCTCACCTAAAAGTTGTTCTTAAGAGTCCCTCTGGTTTTTGTGATTGCTTGGTGTGTTCTTGATGAAGGAATTTAACTACTGATATTTTTTTACTGTACAGAAAATTGTTCTCTACCTGAATTTCTTTTCTCTCTCCATCTTTATACCATTTCTAGTTTTGGGCAATCCTCAATATTTTTGCTCGGAGGCCTGAAGCGGGAGGAGGCCCCAACAGCAATGTTCATGCACAGCGGAGATATCATGGTGATGTCTGGCTTCAGCCGCCTGCTGTACCACGCTGTCCCCAGGGTCCTCCCCAACCCTGAGGGGACAGCTCTGCCTTCGTGCCTCAACCAAGCTCTTTCTTCAGACCTTCCTGTTGGCTCAGTCATTGAGCACAGCTCTGATGAGGACTGGCAGGTGTGTGCCAAGTACCTGCAGTCATCCCGCATCAACATGACTATTCGACAGGTGTTGGCTGAGGGTCAGAAATTTCCAGAAGAATCTGGGACAAACGGAAAGAGCCAAGCACCCTCTGAAGACAGTTATCATGAGAACAGCAAAGCCAAAAGACATAAACCAAACAGAGTCAGCTGAAACCAGGAGATCATATTGACATGGACCAGACAGGCAATCTCTATATGGAATTAGGAACTGGTGTAATACTGGAAGTCACTTGTCTGTATTGCAGTTAATAAACTTGTGCAGAATAAATGTAGTCCTTCTTGCTGTAATAAATAGGTAGGAGGAGAAAAAGAATTTAAAAGGAAAAGAAGGACTGGGACTCAGGAGATTAACTCTATTGGCATTTTGTTGTAAATGTTTACTGCACTCTGTTTCCTTTAAAATACCTGTATGTCAGAGAACTTTGGGCTTGGTTAAGCTTAAATGGTTTAAGCCTTTGGTGAAGCTTGGTTTAAGCTTTAGGAGTGATGCTTATAAAGTATTTTGAAATCATTGGGCAGAGAGTGTTAGCATAAGATACATTATTGCTATGTGATAGAGAATCCTGTTGGCTTGTAAAGCTCAGTTGAAGCTGAGTAACAAGTATGAATGAGAATAGGGTGCTATGGGTGTAAGACCTACCTGCAGCATTTTCAAGATAATTACTTCTGCAGCAAAAATGGGTTCAGTGGTCAGAAACTGGCAACTCCCTCAAGCAGCACCTTGCTGTAAGCTTTATATAGTCCTGTGCTCTCCTTTGGCCTGTTTGCATCCCCTCAGCTGAAGCAGAATCTGCTTTTATGAATGGTACTGAACATCTTATCTCATATTTTAGAGAGAAACAGTTGGGAGTGATATCTACTTAGAATACTTAGGACCTCCCAACTGGGTCTCCTCCCAGCAGTATGTGACTGAGCCCAACATGGCCATTCTTTCAAAACTCTCCTCTTCTAAGTGCCTGTGTGTTAACAGTTCTCCAGTCCCAAGCTAGCATCTGTAAGGAACAGGATGACTTGCAAATAAAAGCAATGAAGCTGTAAATTAAGTACCTAAAAAATTAATCGGTGACTATCTCTGTCACACAAAGATAAATATATTTGAAACAAAGAAAAGCACTAGTTTTTTGTGCTAGTTCTTTTTAAGATTCAGACCTTCCTATCTACTTTTTAATGCAGTTTTAATTGTTTGAGTGGAATGCGCTATCCCTGGGGTATTTTGTTGCACTTTCCCAATGAATAGACTTACTTGGTTTTAAATTAAAGATCTCTATCAGTTTTGGGCTGGCTATTTTCTTCTTTTCTTTTTCTCCCTGTTAGTTGTTTCATGTATTGTTAATGCTGCTGTATCTCTTGTGCAGTACCCTCCAGGCTTCTTTTGGATCTACTCCCTCTGCAATCTGCTAGCTTCTGTGGAGGAGCTCTGCATATGTCTGCAGGGCTGCTTTGCTTATGGCAGTTCAGGGTTTGTTGGGCAGTTGCAGAGGGGTGTTATCTGCAGTATCAAAGTCCAGTTTAATACATACGTGACAGCTTTTCCTCATGGGTAAAGTGTCTGGTCTGCTTATCTCATAGGAAGTGAATGTGTGTTTGCATGCAATTAATTCCTTATGCAATGCTGCAAGGAGTTCCAGTAACTTAAGGTCTAAAATAATCAGATATGAGTTTTAATGTCTTATTCTGTGCTAGATGGCTATTCTTTCTGTAGCCTGGGCCTGGTATATTTACAGCTGAGCCCTAGGAGAGTGAATATATTATGCAGAGAGGTTACAACATGACCAGAAAGGAAAGCTGACTGAATCAAGCTCAGAAAACAGCAAAGCTCCCTTAGTGGCACCTGAAGATGGAGAAGGATGGAGAGGAATATCCCTTTACCTAACTGAGAAGGAAGCAAAGACTGTCCAACTCTCTCATCTCTGATGAGACAAGAAGGTGGTGAACAGGAACTGGTTTCTTCATCTCACAGGCTAAATTGTAAGTCTATGGTTTTCACATCTTTTGTTCCCTATAAATGTATAATATATGACAAGCAGTCATTTATTCCAAGATTCAGTTGTTCCTGTGATTCAAGGACAAGAAAGCATACTGTTTACCCTCTGCAGTTAAAAATTGTAGTAAATACCACGAACTACTGATTGTAATTGGTCATGAGAAGTATCCAGTCCATTGAAGCCTTATGTTTAGATGTGACTGAGTTGAGAATTCGCTTAGTTACTTGCAGTCAAGCTTTTTATCTAATACCATTGTAAGACAGCCCTGGTCTAATTCTGTATCAGACACCCAGAAATGGACATATGAGAAATGACCCAGAAAAAAAAAATACTGGTGTATCATGAGAAACAACAGGAAGAGAGAATTTTCTGAACTGCCAGCCTAGCAGGATTATTGGTTCTTTGGGCAGAGCAGAAGGGAGTACAAGTGAGCAAACCACAGGACTTCTGCAGACTCTGCAAACTGTGCTTCCAGAATATAATTTCAAAGAGGCAGTAAGTCCTGGGAAGTAGGCAGGGAGTAGGGTTGCATCCAGTCATGTACTCAGGACCCATTGACCTATTCCACACAGCTTTCAGAGTCTTGACATTTGCACCACATTTGCTTGGGTTTGTGATGACATAAAAGGATTTTTCCTTAGCACTGATCAAAGTTTTCTATCTATAGGTACCACAAATAATTGCTTGTGTTCATATAGGTGT